TACAGCATACAGCATACAGCATACAGCATACAGCATACAGCATACAACATACAGCATACAGCATACAGCATAAAGCATACAGCATACAGCATACAGCATACAGCATACAGCATACAGCAAACAGCATACAGCATACAGCATACAGCATACAGCATACAGCATACAGCATACAGCATACAGCATACAGCATACAGCATACAGCATACAGCATACAGCATACAGCATACTGCATACAGCATACAGCATACAGCATACAGCATACAGCATACAGCATACAACATACAGCATACAGCATACAGCATACAGCATACAGCATACAGCATACAGCATACAGCATACAGCATACAGCATACAGCATACAGCTTACAGCATACAGCATACAGCATACAGCATACAGCATACTGCATACAGCATACAGCATACAGCATACAGCATACAGCATACAGCATACAGCATACAGCATACAGCATACAGCATACAGTATACAGCATACAGCATACAGCATACAGCATACAGCATACAGCATACAGTATACAGCATACAGCATACAGCATACAGCATACAGCATACAGCATACAGCATACAGCACACTCTGTACATAGTACATAGTATAGTATAGTATACATATAGTATCATATGTATGTATACATAGATAGTTGGGTAAGTAATACACCGGAGTATGTACAGCAGCATATTTACAAGTTGATTCCTAGACAAGTACGAATACATTCTCTCTCTGATACTCGCACTTAAATCAACAATGAAGGAAGAAGATATGGGATAAGTACGAACGAGCGTACGAACGAGTAGGCTAGATAAGTGCGAGTATTTCGAGTATTAATTTTGATTTTCATTTTCGATCAACTATTTACGAAAAATAGATGCAAAGATACGCATTTCACAGGTCTAGTTTGAAGACCATTTAAATTCGGATTTGAGATCGAGTGATTTGATTTTCTTGAATTTCTTGCTAATTAATGGCTGCTTGGATTTCGGGTCGAAAAGTGGCACAAGATTCTTTGCACCAGTTTTGGACTTTCGTTTTGTATATAAATATATTTTCGTTTGCTTTCTGGTTTTATTTTGTATTTGGTATTTTGAATTTTTGGTTTGTTTTGTATTGTTTTTGGTAAAAACATGGGAACGTACCTTAAAATATTTTCCAGCAAAAAGCTGTACACCCATTATGGCAAAAATTAGCCAAAATATTAGACACACCAATAGCACATTGAAGATGGACGGTATAGCTTGTACCAGCGCATTAACGACGACCTGGTTTCATGATAATTTTGTTACGATATCATTTTATTTTTTATTTTTGATTATGCGAATTTCATATTATTTGTATTTATTTTTTATTTTCATTTTTATTTTTATTTTTGATTTAGATTTTTTTCGGGTCGTCGTTTTCGATGTTCGATGTTGGAAAGGTTTTTGGTTGATGTGGATAGTTGTGGATATCAGGAGCAGTTTTATTTTTTTTTTGTGTTGGTGAATTATGTTTTTTTTTTTTTATTTGGTTTGGGGGAGTATATAGAATATAATACAATAAATGCAGAGAGAGTTATTTAGTCAATTTGGCAATAAAAGTTAGCAATTTATATTTGTATAAGTTAGAGTTGTTGTAGTTAGTATGTGTAGTAAGCATGATATAGTACAGTTACACTATTAATAGATCAGTTGGGTGGGTGTGTGTGTGTGTATGACAGATCGAGAGAAAGAGAGAGAGAAAGAAAGAGAGGGAGAGATGATGTGATGTCTGCTTTAGTATGCTATGATAATGATGATGATGATGATGATGTTCGTGATGTGTCTTGTGATATTCTGTGTTGTGTTGTTGTTCGAACTACTTCAGTTGCAGCATGCAGCAAGCGTTGAACTGATTTAACAGTCGATTAGTTATCACATACATTATTTATATATGTACAAAGCAGCAGCAGAAGCTTGAGTGATTGGCAAAGCACTAGACGACACATTTACACAGATCATGAAAGCAAGAGGCACGCAGCATAACGGAAAAGAGTTCATTGAGGTGCATTAAACTCTAAGCTACAGAATAGATTTACATTTGGTGCTCGTAATCGTACGATATAAATAGGTATATATAAATATAATAACTTARCTAAATATGGTTTTTGGCTATAGATGATGAGAGTAAGAGCAAAGAGAGAGATAGGGAGAGAGAGAGAAAGAGTGTGTGCGTATGACAGGGAGAGAGATAGAGAAATTCCAACGAAAGTGCTCAGAATTCAGCATATGTTTTAAATCCAATTTGTTTTGAGTTTCTCTCGCTGTCAATTGTAGATTCTAATGATTACATACATATTAACATAGATAGATGTATTTATATGTATGTGTTGTAATTTTCGACTGATATAACTGAGCGGTATCTCTTGTAGATATGTAACTCTACTGGAGCATACAATGCAGTTAGACTTCTAAAGAACAAGCTAAATACAAAAGAGCGATAGATAAGGAGAGATAGAGAGCGAGCGAGAGGGAGAAAATGAGAGTGAGAGAGAGAGAGGCACAGCAAAGAGAGAGAGAGAAAGAGAGATAGAGAGCAGAAAGAGGCAGAGAGAGATGCTGAAGAACAATTTGTGGGTGTTGAGTGAGCTATAGATTTAAATAGTTTAAAATATTCAATTTCCAATTGAGTTTTATGTACGAGAGTAAAAAAGGCACTACGATTAACGGTACTTAAAAACATAAGATATATATATTTATATACATWTATAGATGTATATTTAATGTAGGCATATAAATAACGTGTGTTCGATAATAACAAGAGTTTGAGTATATAAATAAATTGAGCTAATCAGTTGACAAATTATGGATGCAATCTAGAATTGTTTAACGTTACGAAATAGTCTAGGAAAATTAACAACAACAAAAAATAGAGTTTTTAATCTGCTGCACGTTGATAAGTATTTTTTTAATTTTAGTATTTTGTTGTTGTTGGTATTTAACTGTTTTTCTAAAAATTCGACTAAATACATTTTATGATTAAATATTTAACTAATTAATAGATAGAGGTATTTGTGTGTGTGTGTTGTGTGTGTGTGTGTGGCTGGTTAGTGTTGTGACATGAGTGTGTGTGTGTGTGTGTGTACAAGAGTAATTAATATCAGCGCGCGTATAAGAGAGTGTTGACAACTGCACAGGCAGCCATTTTGTTTTTGGATTTTGATCATAATGAAAATCGCTGTGGAATTTTGATTGAATTTGATAAATATTTAATTATTTTTGTTTTTGATACTGAATGAATGAATATTGGAATATGTAGTATTGAGAAGTTGTTGCTGTTTTGTATTCTGGTTGTTTTGTATTTGGTATTTTGTTGGTATTTTTTCTGTTTAGTATTTTTTTACGTAATTGGTTTAATGTATGAAAGTACGTACCCGCATGCCCTGCATACGGGACATGGCACGTAGTGGTCTCAGTGCTCTTAACGTTCGCATAGTCTTGAAGGCTTGAATACCACCAGCTCCAACAAGTGAAGCAACGAAGTTGATAAGCGATACCTAGTTTCGATATAGTTCGAATAGTGCCAAGTTTAACAAATTTATTTTAAATAAAGTTACGATTAATATAAAAGTGTTTTGATAATTTGGGTTTCGAATTTCCATTTTTTGTTTGATTTGATTTTTTCATTTCTGTTTCTTGTTTTGGGTTAAGTTGGGTTTGTGTTTGTCCTGTCGTACTTGTTCTTGTTTCTTCAAATACATACATAACTGAATTATAAGCATATATGTATATATATATAAATGTCAACTGCTGCCTGCTGTAGTCGGGCGAAACCTACGTAAACGAACCTCAACGGAACTTAATTGCCTTTCGCATTTGGCTTGAGCAGCCCTAGCACTTAAATCGACATTACTTATATGGTAGCCTAGTATTTTGTTTATGATATAGTATATAGCATATATATAATAATAAGATGGAGGTATTTAAGGTATATATTTTTGTAGTACTTGCAAAACACATACAACATATGTAAGTATTTAGTCAACTAGGTAGATAAACACATATATTGGAGTATAGTTATTTCAACTTGATCACACACACATACATGGAACGTGTTAACAGATACGTACATATAAATAGATAGATAGATAGTTTGAAGTTGAAGTAGTAGTATTACATACTTATAGTATACTCGTTATGCATGTAACATTGATAGCTGTGGTTCAAGAATACGCTACGATTGGACAAGTACAAGTAATGCTCGAGGGTAGTTGGAGCACTCGACAACAACACAACTGGCGGGATTGGAGGGATTACGAAACTCATAACACTGGGTTGGTTGAATTGAAGACATAGCAGAACAATGGGTTGCTCAATGAGCTGTCAAGGTCAACGGGATCGAGAGCCTGTCTGTATTTGTGAAAGGAAGAGCTCTTTTTAATGGGGTGGTTATAAGATTAAGTATAAGAGATTTAAGAATAAAAGAGATCAAAAGTGTTGTTTCGGGGTGGTTGTATAAAAGCTTTAAGGAATACAGAGATCGAGGGACTGTTTAGAAGAGATACTAAATAGATATGGTAGTTGGTAGTATTACGAGCTATAAGTGAACAAGAGATGAAGAAACTGTCTGACAAAAGAAAAACAATTTGGTGTAGTTATAAGATTTTATTAGTCTAATCGGATTACATATGCGTAATCAAGAAACGGTCTGTGTAAAATAAAGATATTGATATTGAGAGACCTTTCGGAGGTTGAATTGGCATACGACAAATGTAGATCAAGTTGTTGCCTCTAAAAGAGAGTAGGTAGTACTATGAATAGTAAGATAACAAGAGAACGAAATAGGGAAGGGTTGATAAATAGAATCAACCGCGAGACCTTTCTAAAAGGAACCTGACTCATCTATCAGAGCAAGGGCCTGTCCTAGGGGCGGATATTGTCAGATTGAGGGATGATCGAGAGTCTGTCTGTACTGAGAAGAAACTTCTGGGATGATAGGGCTATATATATTTTTTTGTGTACTAACTATTGACTCAATGAGGGATTGGAGATTTTCGTATAAAAAAAAGAAGAAAACATTTCGCATTGCACCCTTCACAGCTGCACAGAGCTTCACAATGGACGAGGCCGGCATGCAAACGCCAATCGGAGGAGACGCATGGACCAAATGATTCAATTTTCTTATCGACATTGTCAACTAGTGTTACAGTTACAGTTACAATTACAGTTACGATTACGAGTACTGTTAGAGTGTTCATTGTATTCGAATACTAGGTGCTGCCCTATATACAAGCCCCAATATATATATTATCACATCGTTTGTGTGTGTGTGTGTGTGTAGGTCCGTGTACGTCCGTGTGTCTGTCTGTGTAAGTGTGTGTGTGTGTGTGTCTGTTTGTGTTGATTAGAGCAATCTGTGACGTTTGCATTGCCTGTGGGTCCATTGTGCCGCCGTGCAACGTTCGCACTAGGTTTTTCGTTTCATTTGATGGGGCTGTCATTATTTTGTTGGCTTTTGTCTTTATATTGACACATTTTTGCTCAAACTTTGCTGCCGGACTCGATTGGTTCGGGGATTTCATTGGCTGGTTGGTAGGTACAAAAGTTCTTGATATATTCGTTCGTTAGCCTGGCCGGGCCTCGAATGGAGCTGTGTGTGGGCGTGCGACGCACGCAATTGGATTTGTTAGAGCCCTGAGCCAGGTTGATTAAGTTTTGGATGCGGCTTGTATATAAGTAAAACACTGCCACCACTGCGTATACGCAATCTGTCAAATTTTGACAATTGCACTTGTATTCGACTGTCGTTTCTATTGCGATGCACATATATATATATATATAGTATAAGAAATACCTATTTACAGGACAACGGTATATATATATGTTTATGTATATACAAACGATTCGTATTACCTACAGTTCAACGATAATAATAGAATACCTCTGGGGATTTTATTGGATTGTTGTTGTATTTTTTACACTAGGCGACTTTTCGAATAGAAGTCTAGAAAGTTTTTGCTCTTCGCGTCTTTGTACAGTGGTGGTGCCTATGCGCCTAATATATAGTAGTATACAAGAAATAGGTAATATATACATATTTAAGAAAAATATATATATCACTATAGTTTCTTCGGTGCCGCTAAGGTACTAGGCCTTTGAGCTGGTTCGGGGGGGTTTTGGTATGGTTCCCTTTATGTGATTCAGAATGGCAGATAGAGTTGAGAGACAATGGCTACGGTTTACACTAAGATTAAATAAAGGATACGGGAGTACGGGTATACGGGTATTCGAGATTCTAGAGGTCGACTAAGGGCACTACTTGATTGAGTTTCGGATTGCGTTTGAACCAAACTACTTACATACGCATCTATTTACATACGGATGGGTATGCAAACCAATGTGTTTAATGGTTTAGCAAGTAGTACGTAGCTTCGGCTTAGCACTAAATATACAGATAATACAGCTGTTATACGTACGGACTTAACCTAGATTACAGTCTATAACTGATGCTACACTAGGCGATTATATAATCTATTTATAAACTATATATACTTGAGTTGAGTTGCTCTTATAACAGAGTATAACAGTATGAAGGAATACATAATATACAAAGCTAAAGCGTTACAGCGGCAACGTTTATATATAATATGAATATGAATACACATGTACATACATACATTCATAGGTAAATGTATATGGTTATACAGTTGGCACATGATTGGAATATGTATATAACAGAAAAATCCAAAACGATAACCAACGAATAAGAAGAAGCACCTTCTCTTACATTTAACTTTGGGTATGACAAGAAATTAATTCCAAATGATAATTAGCTCACTGTTATACATACATACATAGATATATAATTATTTGTTATACGATTGCAACATGATTGAACTCTTAATGCAACATTATGTAGATATATAAACGTTTGATATAATTATATATAGTAGTATACAATTGTCACACATATACATATACATATGTAGGTATATGTGGTACAGTATTAGTCATAGATTGATTGCTGTGGATGGTTAGGTACAATGGTTAAAGAACACAAAAGAAATGTACATACTGGCTGGTATAACAGTTAGCAGAGCGCCGCTCTAAGCGCAGTGTGAATAATTGTTTGGTAATCAACACAGATACAACGATGATAATCGAAAACATAAAAAAAAAAACGAAAAACAAAAATATTCAAATATATAACAGACAACAAACACACACACACACACACATACATACTTATATACAAATGTATATATATATGGAAGTACTCGTGATTGGAAGATCGCGAACTTAATTAGGCATATAACAGTTGAGCGCATAATAAATAGTTATTCTTATAACAGTTAGACGTATAACAGTTACGTGTATAACAGTTAAACGTATAACAGTCAAACGAATAATAGTTAGTTAGCCGTATAACAGCTAAGCGTATAACAGTTAGGCATATATAAATTATGCATATAACAGTTAGAACTGCTGCAACGGATCAATTACGATCGGCACGCACATTTATACAATTAGTGCAGCTTGGCGCACACACACCAAGAAGTTTAGCAGTTAGCACACACATAAAGAGATATACAGAGAGAGATAGTGAGAAATAGAGCGAGAGAAAGAAATGCTCTTGATGTTGTCGCAGCCACAGCGCTAAAAGCTCTGACCTCTGGCTAAGAGAGTAGACAGAACAACATCAAGCGCACAGCTGACAATCGCCATTGGCTTTGTTATTGAGTTTGTATGATAGTATAACAGTTAATACACATTGTATACATATAAGAGCTTGATAACATTCGTAAGTATTACAACATTTAATATAGTTGGTACACAGATGTATATGTATATATAAATATGGGATTGGACGTAGCTAATGCGCACTCCCACACACGCACGCACACGCACACGCACGCACACTCAGACTGACATACAGAGCGACAGATAGAGAGAGAGAGAGAGAGAGAGAGAGAGAGCGAGCGCAAGACACAGATACACGAGTACTATTTAAGAGAGAGACAGAAATAGAAACAGAGAGAGAGAGAGAGAGAGAGAGCGTCTATTACTTACTTTCATGCCCTCCCATCGCGAAACGGCGCGCAATGGCCTCAAAGCGCGTAGGGTCCGCATCGAGCGGAAGGCGGGCACATCGTCGGCTCCGGACCAGACCGCAGCCAAATTGATTAGCGACAGCTAAACGACCATTACATAAGTACATAGTATGTATTTAAGCATGAACAGCTTCGGAAACCACTCAAAAAATCAAATTCCAACTCAAATGCAAACTCAAAATCATACGTAAATTAAAACTCGAGTGAAATTCGAATGATCGCATGATCTATATATGTTTTTAAAATTATTATTATATATATGAATAGATATTATATATATAATATGTGTGCAGATAGTAGTTTGGCTTAGTCTAGACTAGATAAGTGACTAACTAGTTACTCTACAACTTTTATAGTCTAAGTTTTCAACTGGGTTTCATATGTTACATGGCTGCTTACGGGTTCTCTGTTGTACTACTGTTTACAGATGTGTTATACTTGTAGCTCTCCTAACCGTTATACAAATAGGCAAAAATAAAAAATCTAGAAAATTCTATTTATATATTACTTTCGAAATTTATCAATATAGAGTCCAGATGTCAGTCAGTGTATATAGATCGATATATATAGATATAGTACAGGTATTAACAGTTTTTTTTTTCTGTTCATTTTTTTTATACCTAATTCGAGTTAATGTAATTTTTATTTTTATTTTTTTTGTAACTTTGGACAAATTGTGATTCGGATTCGGTTCGTGATTTGTTAAGTAACTTAAAAAAAGAGAGAGAGAATCGAAAGCATTTGTACACGGCCAACGAGATGGACTTACCATGACAATAACGAAATCAAGCCAGCACCACGCATTCGTGAAGTACACTTTGAAGCCGAGCGCCAACCACTTGATTAACATCTCCAAGAAGAATATAACCGTAAATATTCTGTCCATATAGTATAAAATATCCTGCAGTATCGGCCGTTGTGGCAGGTGAACATCTTCTAAAGCCTGTCGGATTTGGAGTCGAAGTTGGAGTCGTTGATTGGTGTGGGGGCGAGTGGGGTATTCAAGTTATTTGTAAAAGAAGTTTTTGTTTGCATTACAAGTACAAGTAGATAAGTATAGAGAGGTTGTATATGGTATCTAGAAGCAGTATAAGAAGCTAGATAATCGATAAGCAATATATGGTAATTACGTAAGTCTGGAGCAGCTGCCGCATTACTGGCTTTACTCACATACTCGAGTATCTACACTTCATTTATTATTATTATTATTAGTAGTAGTAGTATTAGTATTATTGTTATATATAATTTTTTTTTCTCTTCTTTTTTATTTGAGGCAAGAAAGAAGTGTTGTTTTATTTTTTTCTTCGTTTACGGACAAATGAAAGTCAAACGCAATTAAAGAAAAATTTTCAAAGAAATTGAAGACAAAATTCTTGAAATAATACGCATAAGCGTCTCTCACAGAAAGCTAACGGTAAACCTCTCTAGCTAGACAAAAAACCCTACGCAAGTAATGCCAATTGAAATTGTTTTGCAATTTTTACAGGGTATCGCATGTGCTTTTGCGCATAGGCAAAGACACAAACCGTTTGACTGGAATGTGCCTAAGCTTAGGTCAAAAGGCAACATCATCTCAGGGCGGGGATCAAAGCTCTAAAAACAACTCAAGAAATTTGAATTCAAATCAAAACAAATTCATTGCTCAACTACTGATAGCAACAGCAATAAGCTGGCTGGCTGGATCACATGGTCTATAGAATTAAATCATATATGTATGTATATATCATTAAAAAATATTTGAGAATCTCAAGCAATTGGGCATTAAGCATTTGTGTGTCTTGTGTTGCTACCAGTAACAGCAAAATGAAGACTTAAATAAATATGTAAATGAACGTATTTGTAATATTGTTGAATCTAAGCTAAGCTCAACTAGGCTAATTGACTCTAGTAACAAATCAAAATTCAAATCAAATATTCAATAATGAAGCAATCAACTTTGGTAAAGTTTAAGCGAGGCTTGTTTAACTACTTAGTTTTCATTTTTTTTTTGCTTGTTTTTTTAATTAATTTGCAAATTTAATTAAATGCAAATATTTTTGAGAAATTTCAAAAATATTTTGCGTTTTTGGCAAATTTGTTTTTTTTTTTTTTAAATTGTTTTTTTAAGTAGTTGTAGTTGTAGTCGACTTACCAAAGCTAAGCTACTCATTAAAATCATAGTGATAACAGCTGTTTCAAAATATTTATTTTCAATTAATTGAAAAGTTTTCAGTCGTAAATTGCCCCATCCTTGCCAGAACGGCGAATCTTCGTCACCGGCTAAGATTGGAAATTTCTTATAGTACGAATCGGGGCAGCAATCAGCTGGATATTCGTCAAGTATATCCTCGTCGTTAGCGTGTATTATGATATCACCGTCGAGGGGGCCCTCCTCGCATTCGCCCTCCTCGTCCAGGTCCTCGTCGAGACCTAAATCCTCTTTGCTGGCGTCGCGCTTCTCCTCGCCCTCCATCGTTTCGGCGCTGCCCTTGTGGCTCTCGTCCTTGAATGGTCGATTCTTATGGCTACCATATGAGTTAATGCTGGCAGTGTCGTCGTCCTGTAAGGACAAACCTCTATGGTTTAGCTCGTGTTCCAGTCTATTGTCTTGGTGGTTAATTGAGTTGCCAATCATCTGTAT